TATCACGTGGTCAGCGCACGAATGGAGATTCCGACTACGGCTCGATTTGTTGATAGTATTTGTCGGCATGTTAGTAGCGCTCATCAACATTAAATTTCAAGAATTTCGAATTTCCGAAAAACCATATTTTCCCATTTTGCGACACAATATCATTATCTTTTCCCTCGTAATATTGATCGGCTACATCTTCGGAATTTCGAGACTTAGTAAACTCTAATACAATATTTACCACCCTTACATCTCTTTCCTGGCCATACTAAGTTTCATAATCCTTCGTAACGCCACAAGCGGACTGTTCGTATTTTTCGGACATTTCTCGCTAGAGACTTACATCACACAATTTCACGTGTGGATGGCGGCCGATGCTAAAGGATTATTGGTGGTCACACCTCCAGAATTGTTCTGGACGAACTTCGCGATCACAAGCTTTATTTTTTTTATGTTTGTTACTGGTTGTCGAGGTCCACTGGAGAGTTGACAAGTTGGATAGTTGGTGAAAGAAGTAATGCTCATAGAGTAATAAATGATGAGCCAATAGGTATCTCAGGGACGACTACGTCGCTGATGCATCCGAACATCGGTAATTGCAAGAACGATGAAGCAAACGATTCCGTGGTCGTGATATATAATAACGGAGAGCCGAACGAACTGAATAATAAAACGACGAACCTTAATGGATATGTGATTAAATGTATGAAGAGTAGGTTTGTGGACTGGGGAAGAGTGATGGTTTCATTAAAAGTCAAATTGGGAATTGTAATGTTTGTACTGTGGATTTTAAATATCTCGTATCCGTAATTACTGGGCGAGACTAACAGTCGCCGATAAATTAGATTACCACGAGTAGGATTTTAATTTCCTCGTAACAATTCCGGTTGCACGCAATTCAAGCCATTTTATCAATATTAAGAAATGTAATTCTTGTATACGGTATATGTAATAAACTGAAATCAACATAAAACCAAATTACACTGGTATGTTCCAGATTATTGAATTTTTTTTTAATAAATGCAAAGTTATTTGTTTATTATTTTCTTTATTGAAATTATTGGACATGTTTAATTTTTAAAAAATCTGTGTCACCGATTGCTTCTTTTTGTTTAAAGATATGGTGAAATGAAATTCTTTACGTCGAAGGGGAATCTCACTCCAGAATTAGAAGACGATGTCCTAACG